ATTCGACTCGAAAGCATTTCACAACGTCAACAATGCCACCCTCCAACACTAAACAAAGCGTCTTACAAAGAAAACATCATTCCAAAGAGGCACCACCATTCTGCCTTGAAATTTTTACGAAACCTTTACCGTACCAAAGACAAAAGCAATCAAAATTTCCGCCTGATCACGCAGTATTGATCGTTAGAAACAATGCATCACATGGTGGAGATGAGCGAAATAAAACGCGAACACAGATCACACAAAATGATCGCATCAATCAAGCAATCGGAATGTTAGTGGCTGAAGCAATTTCGTTGACGATTGGTTCCAGAGGTACTCTCAGTTGCCGAAGAACTCCAATTGGACACTCCGAACTGGCCACCACATAAACANAATAATTTTAGCGAGGAACTTATCCGGGATATCATTACTATACGGCAGTTTACGCAGTTCTATACTCTATCTGATGTCATATGTATATTGATGAACCACTACTTGCTGTATGATTTCAATCTGATTATCACTGTATTATCACTGTGTGATAATACAATGAACAAAAGCGTCGGATACTTGTCAAATGTGCGAACAAATAAAACAGCAAACAAATAACACCTTCGAACAGCTAGAAATAGTGCAATGTTCTGTTGTCCTTCTAATGACGAACACATCAAAATCTCACTCCTTAATTCGTGGTTGACGAATTAAGGAATGAGATAAAATTGAATGTATTTCCGGGCAAACTTGAGAAGACGGTAGGCTTGAATGTACCCATATTTCTATAGTAACGAATTGATCTGTAGTGATCAAATGCATATCAATGAGCACCTCAGCGCCAGTTCAGATAGCTTTGATAAAATAGCTATAGCTCCTCAACTATGAATATCTGTTCTGTTGTAAACCTGTTCCATATATCTGTTCCAATTAGAATATATTGTAAATCTTATGATTCGGATGTGTTTCACTATCCATCTTTATACTTTTATTACAAAGAATTCGTTCAAAAACAAATCGAATGATCAGTATGGCCAATCCGAATCAGCTGATCATTCCGACATACTTCCATCGGCAGCGCCATTGTTCACTAATTCTAAGAATGGAGGAACAAAAGTAGAACATGGGGTAGTTTCTATGGCACGAGAAGCATTATGCTGTGATTGAGTAAGATATGATGCACGGACGTGATACTGAAATCGGAATACAAAATTTTGTATTCTATAAGCTAGCGTGATGAAATGAAAACAACGACAGCATTCAGATTTATCGGGATTGTTATTGTTATTACACGAAACCAGCTACAACATGAATCCTCACACGTGAATTGACAGCGTGCTTCATATGGATGAAACTTCCCGAAATGCAGTTTCAGAAAAGTGTCCCCGACATAAAATTAATTCATTCATGTTTCTAATTCATAACCTGAGATTAATTATTAAAATGATGCCGACTGATACTGAATAATTACCATGTCCCGTTAAATGCAAAAAAATACATTCAAAAAATGCTTCCGATGAAAACGAATCAGTCAACTGAAACGCAAAAATCGAGGAGGCGAAAATTTGTATTCAAATCGATTGTCCAATGAAAAAAACGTCATTAATTCAAATGTTTACTGAACCACATGGGATCACTCAGTATAAGTGCAGAATTATGTAATGAATTAATGGCTATTCGGATGTTTTCATGCAGCCATCAAACACGATTGACCAAAGCGTTTTAATATACCCTCCACGCATTCCACGCATGCAACACGAATTTTCACGAATACTCAGTAAAATTTCATTGCACTTTATTGCTTGAATACATTCATAATTCCCTTAGGTAATGGCTCAACTAATCGAAACAATGAATGTTACGATGAGTTCACATAATCGAACAGCGAAAAACGATCGCCTGTGAGTCATTTCAGAGAATGATAGAATATGTCACGTAATTCTTTTATGTTGCTATCAAAAGTGAACGATGATCGTTTGAGAGGTGCTCAATTGATTGCTTAAATGTACAGAAACCATTCGTCAGAGTTGCGAATGCTATTTGCAGATGTACGAATCAATCAGAAAACTCACCGAAATATGGCCGTTTTCTGTTCACCCATATTCAGCTTTGCTGTCTGTTCGACGGCCAATTGATAGCTGTTGATCAATTGCGCACGATTACGGAATTCTTCACCTTCAAACAGATACAAAACATCAACAATCTCAGACACCATTAAGCACTGGCTCGTTGCACGTCGTATTTGTGAGCAGTCGCAAACAAGCGCACTCTAATCAAGTGGAGAAAGCCCGACGAGCAAAGTTCATTTAATTGCATCAGATATTTCCACCTCACATTTAAAGCGTTTTCAGAAATATTTTTCAAAATGTATTTAAGGAAACTGGAAGCCAAAAACAGTAGAAATTAGAATGAGACAGCGAATTCAGAACAAGAATATATTAGGAACCTGAAGATTCACTGACTCCGACAATCGGCACTCCTTCCTTGTCGGTAACGAAAATATACTGAATTCCAGGTGTATCACGAAGAATCGCTCGCAGAGATCGTGTAATTTCCATTATCGGGAGTGTCTCACCTACCACCGTTCACTCTCTTAAATTATGAAAAAGTGATCGTCTGGTTTTTGCTTGACTAATTCAACGCGAAACAGAAGCAACGAAAACACAATCAGTATTCACCACGGTTGCCATCTTCCCCGTAAACGCGCAACACAAGCGATTCCTTGCAAGCAGAAAAGAACAATCCAAAGGTTTGTTCATTCTGGATATGAAGAAACTCCGTCGTGAACCTTGACCAAAGTTTCGAAAAGATTTAGAATTCAACTGAATCTTGAATTGAATTCCGTCCGTAACGATAAAAAACATGATGGGACGTCAAAACTGTTTTGCAAATCTTCACTTTGTGGTATGTTGTTGGAATGTGAAGATTCACACTAGCGCCAAGTTTAGGATTTCGATAATCAATGATCGCTGGATCAACGTGAAGATGCAACGATCACAAAATCCGAATTCGCATGATTACACTGTGGAATTCTGGTAGACAACAAGTGAAAGATGTCATTCGACGATTCGTCTGCGGAATGTTGATAAAATAATGTGTTTGTTAATGCTACAAACTCGCTTAATGAGTTCATCGATTCGACGATGCAAACAACGCATAAATAGCATATTTATTTAATTATGAAAACATATCATCAAAGAAATTTCATTCAAATTACAGCATCATCAAAAGTTGAAATTTAAAAAACTTTTTTCAATTTTACAAAAGACCACATTCATCAAATTAATCAACTGAATAGGAATCGATGTTTTAGACAAACATTCCAGAACTTCATCAGAATCTATCATTTGGATTCGGAAATTTTGTGAAAATTCAATTCAAAACCATCAAAAACTGGTGGGCAATAAGGAAGATTTACGTAGATTGTAAGTGTAATTCTTCATTTGTTAAGGTAATAACTGAGATCAGCTTCTTGAAACGTGGATTGAGTTGGATGAGTAGATGAATAGCTATGAGCTGAGAATCAACTCAATACTGATTCCCTTCTGTCATTCACTATCGATGACATAACTGATATCAGATGGGGCTGTCAACGGAAAAACTGCCAATCTGGCGGTAGTTCGATTAGGAGCTTCATTCATCTACCGTGTTTTCTTGATCGATCAGAGATCAATGGTGGATGAGGATTAGGTAACGAAAGAATATTGATGGATACTTGATCAAGATGAACATAAAAGAATCAATGAAGCAACTATTGTTCGTTGTAAAAACGCAACGAATCCGCTAACTAGCTGAATGGACAGTGGCAATGAACAAAACGTGTCACTGAGCAAAATCATGAATAATATTCGCGAATGATTACAAAAAAGTGCAAATATACAAAAGTTCTATTGAAACGTTCAACTAAACGTTCTTGAACGATCGGCCAAAGAGAGTATTGATGATTTACCTCATTTCGTATGCGATAAGGTACGGCGCTGAAACAGCCTTGCAATGGAATAAGCAATAAGCTCCAAAGTATGCTCAAATGCGTTCCCTAATCCTGAGGTAAAGGTT